AGCTGCTGCCGGAGCACCTGCAGCAGCTGCAGCAGCAGCAGCTGCAGCAGCAGGAAACCGACGCCGCCGACGAGCTCGCCAGGGTCTACGAGCAGCAGCTAGCAGCAGCAGCAGCAGCAGATAAAAGAGTTTTCTTTTCTGGAAATTCTGTCTTTTGCATATTTTTCGATGAAGACACTCTCGCCCGCATTCTAGAGCCCTACCAGCTCCCGGAGCCGCGCGGTGTGCTGCTGCTGCTGCTGTTGCTGCTGCTGCTGCTGCTGCTGCTTGTTGCTGCAGCTGCTGTTCCTGCTGTTGCAGATACTCCTGCAGGTTTCGCAGCTAGAGCTGCTGCTGCGTGCGGCTCGTGCTGCTGCTGCTTCTGCTGCTGCTGCTTCTGCTGCTGCTGCTTGCTGCTGCTGCTGGTCCTGCTGTTGCAGTCGCTGCTGCAGGTTTCGCTGCTAGAGCCGCTACTGCTGCGTTGCTGCTGCGTGCCGCTCGTGCTGCTGCTGCTGCTGCGTGTGTTTTTGCTGCTGGCGGCGGTGCCCCTGCCTCACGCTGCTGCTGCTGCTGCTGCTGCTGCTGCTGCTTCTGCTGCAGAGACGGAAGGCGGGCTGCCGCTGCTGGAGCTGCTGGCAGCAAAAGGGCTGGAGCGGCAGGCAGTGACGCTGGAGGTGCTGCAGCAGCTGTCGAGCAGCTACGGGCTTAAGTATCACTTTTGGCTGCGCAGCAGCATAGATGCAGCAGAGTTTGTTTTCCCTTTTGCTGCTGCTCGTGCTGCAGCGCAGCAGCAGGGCCTCAGCTGCTGCCTCTCCGTCTCCTTCCCCCGCCTCCTCGCAGCAGCAGCTTCTCACCCCACAACTGCAGCAGACACTCTCAAGTGGCTGCAGCAGCAAAAGCACAAAAGAAACAGGCAGCTGACTCCGCAGCAGCAAGCTGCCTTTGCCCTCTACAAGGCCTTCGCCTTCGTCAAGGACGCACCCAGCAGCAGCAACAGCAGCAGCAGCAACAGCAGCAGCAGCAACAGCAGCAGCAGCAACAGCAGCAGCAGCGGCGCTGCGCAGCAAACGGGCGCGAGCGAGGGCAACAGCAGCAACAGCAGCAGCTTGTGAGCCGCGTGGAAGAACGGAAGTCGAGCAGCAGCAGCAAAAAGATACCAACATGCTGCTGCAGCCTCTGCTGCTGCTGCTGCTGCTGCTGCGTTGATGGCGGCTCTTTCTGCTGTTTGCGCTGCTGTGCTACGCTAGCTGCGCTAGGCGCAGCACTGCAGCTCTTGGAGCACTAAAGCAGCAGCTGCTGCT